TATTCAATGAAGATGTAGAAAACATGCAGTACAATATTACAATGTATTCAGTGAAGATGTAAAAGACATCCAGTACAACATTGCAATGTATTCAGTGAAGATGTAGAAAACATCCAGTACAATATTACAATATTTTCACTGAAGATGTAGAAAACATCCAGTACAATATTGCAATGTATTCAGTGAAGATGTAGAAAACATCCAGTACAATATTGCAATGTATTCAGTGAAGATGTAGAAAACATCCAGTACAATATTACAATGTATTCAGTGAAGATGTAGAAAACATCCAGTACAATATTGCAATATATTCAGTGAAGATGTAGAAAACATCCAGTACAACATTACAATGTATTCAGTGAAGATGTAGAAAACATCCAGTACAATATTGCAATGTATTCAGTGAAGATGTAGAAAACATCCAGTACAATATTACAATGTTTTCAGTGAAGATGTAGAAAACATCCAGTTCAACATTACAATGTATTCAGTGAAGATGTAGAAAACATCCAGTACAACATTACAATGTAGTCAGTGAAGATGTAGAAAACATCCAGTGCAATATTGCAATGTATTCAGTAAAGATGTAGAAAACATCCAGTATAACATTACAATGTATTCAGTGAAGATGTAGAAAACATCCAGTACAATATTACAATGTATTCAGTGAAGATGTAGAAAACACCCAGTACAACATTGCAATGTATTCAGTGAAGATCTAGAAAACATCCAGTACAATATTGCAATGTATTCAGTGAAGATGTAGAAAACATCCAGTACAATATTGCAATATATTCAGTGAAGATGTAGAGAACATCCAGTACACTTTTAAATAGGTTTCAGTAAACTCCAATAAACAGTTTTAACTCTTTAACGCTTAGTGAGTTATGTCAGAACTTTAAGAAGACTTCCGGTTCATTCTGCTAGAAAATATATATTTTTTCGTAGAGGTTTAGTTCATGTTTTTTGAGAAAATTTCGTTATACTTCTTAGAGATTTAAATTTACCGTTAAATACATTCATCTAATTAAAGAAAGAAATCAAACAACAACAACAATTTTACTTTATAAAAGGCTTAGTAATCTTTTAACCAATTATCTTGTTAAATTTCCAGAATACAATTAGTTTTACAATTAGGAACTTTTCAACAAACTTCTAGTCATTTCTTTGGGTTTTCAGTAAATATTTAGAGAATATCCAGGTCATTGAACTTCTAAAAAACATCATGTTTATCCTAACAGATATTTCAGTAAACCGGTGAAGACATACAGTTTATTATAGCAGGGATTTACGGAAACTTGTATATAACATTCACGTCATTCAAACAGAGATTTTAGGAAAGTTGTTGAAAATATTCGGTTTACTTTCACAGATATTTCAGGAAAACAATATATTTTATAGGAAACTTCTAGTTCAATTTAAAAGAGATTATGAAGAATGCGCATAAAACGTCCTGTTTGTTTTTAGATAATGATTGTAGTACGTTTAAATATCGTCACTTCAGTTCTACAACGATTTCTTAAAGTATTATAGAAAAATATATAAAATTTGATTGTTCAAGAAATCGTCTTTTTAATTTTTTGAGTACATTTCTGGAAACACCTAAAAAGCTTTTACTGGAATTTCAATTAAATTAAATCCAGAAGGCCCGCATTGGCCAGGTGGTTAGGGCCCCGGCATGGCCAGGTGGCTAAGGCGCTCGACTCGTAATCTGAGGGTGGCGGGTTTGAATTCCCGTCACACCAAACATGCTCGCCCTTTCAGCCGTGGGGGTGTTATAATGTGACGGTCAATCCCACTATTCGTTGGTAAAAGAGTAGCCCATGAGTTGGCTGTGGGTGGTGATGACTAGCTGCTTTCCCTCTAGTCTTTCACTGCTAAATTAGGGACGGCTAGCGCAGATAGCCCTCGTGTACCTTTGAGCGCAATTCAAAAACAAACAAACAATTAAGTCCAGCTGGACTAAATTATTTATTTACTTCTATATTATTCATTCTTGATATAAAATTTTGAGTATTTTCTATCAAGTCAAAATGGACACTTCTTCCAATATTTGACACATTAGTATGCTACCTCTTTGACATTATTAGGTCACATTACATCATTTTTTACTGTGCATTGGATGTTTCGTATTTTCTTGTATTTGTTTTGCTGATCTTAAGCAACAAGTTGCACAATGAATTACCAGTGCTGTACACACTGAAGTGATCAATTTCCGTTGTATACTAGGCCACTGAACCATTATATTATTATATTTTTAAGTTATTTACATTTTATATTTAATTATTCATGTCAACTGGGACCTCACAAAGCTTGAGACGACATTATAAATATACTGTTTTCTTGTTAACGTTTACTGCCTCTTGGAATAGTTTTATGTTCACAAAACCATGTCGACATTCAACGAGTTTCGTCAATGTATTCCAAATCATGCTGATGTTTACTGATTTTATTCAATGTGTTCTAAACTATGTTCCAGATCATGCTGGTCTTATTGAAGTTTAACTATGTTTCTTAAATAATGCCAACATTTTCTGAATGTCTATCATGTGCTTCAAACCATGTTGTCATTCACCGAATTACATCTATTTTCATTTCCTTTAATTATATGTATCACATCATAAACAACATTAGCCTTTATATGTTATGTGACATTCACTTGGTATTGTTTACATGTAAGAAATTAAATAGAGACTAGGATCGCTTCAATGTCTGTAATTAGCAATGCGTTTTTGTTGTTACGTTTCTTTTAGTTTTAGCAAAAAAGTGCACGTTAAAAATAATATACATATTTGATGATTTGATAAGCTGTAATATTTAGGTGTTTTTTAAGTAAATTCCTATTTTCCATTTCTATTAAATTTTATTGGGATAAGAAATATACTGTTACGACAGCGGAAGTCAAGCGACGCTGGAAGCATGCGTACTGGAGTTTCTCGAAGGTTCGTGAATTTTCCTGGCAATTCTACTTTGTTCGAGGCGCCCTCTTTTTCAATATATAAGCCTGGCGAGAAAAACCAGCGCGATTGAAGAGATATAGAGAGAAATGCAGATAGAATGAAGAGATAGATAATTGAGTCAAGCAAACAGTAGGCACTATAAGTAAAGTGGGTAAATCACTGTGATTTATAGCGTGTGTTATAAAGGTTGTTAAGTTTAAAGTGACTGTGGAAATTCTGTGTATTACAAAAGTGTATCGAGAAAGAATAAACTGGTTTAATGAAGAAAGGACTTGTATCGCTGAAGTTCCTCGGAAAGAATTTATACCGGAAATTAACAAACAATCAGATACGTAGCACTATATTAATACAAGAAGGTAAAAAAGTATGATATTGTTTTATATCAAGTATTTGATTTCCTAATAAAAAGTCAGTTTTGCCTAACTAAAGTAGTTTGTTGTTTCCCGATTTACTAAAATGCTTAACAAAATTTCTGTATTTTTCAACACATTTTGATTCTAGCAGCATCAAGCTGTTGTACGAACATGATTCTATAACCAGCCGTTCTTAACCGGCGTTACTCGGGTATTATCTGAGAAGAGGGCCAATGTTTAGTTATTTTTAAAGAGAAAGGATCAAAATTTCTCTTTTCATTTAACAATATATGTCAAATGCATAAAGGTACTAATACTGAAAAGAAAGACATAATGTTTTCAAGCATTCTTTAAATATGAAATTAGTACGAACAAACATTTAAGTATAATAATTTCCGCCAATAATATGAATTCTAACACTTTTATGCGTGTTTTTTAATCTGCTTTTACAAAACTGTTAATGTTTTACATTATTGGCGGAAATGAAACAATAACAGTTTTGTAATAACAGGGTTTTAAAATCCGTTTTACCGAATAAAACCAAAGCGCTTCTTCAGCCCTCTATTTAATTTGTATAATTAATCAGTCACTCAGCTTGCCAAACTACTCAATTTACTTTGTAAATTAAAATCAAAGACAATATTTAGAAATTTACACAAACACACTATCTATGTGGTTTCGAAGTAGAATTAAACTTTTGATTTTACAATGTATTATTTGAATTATAAAAATTTCCTTTATTTTTTTCTCTACATAATACCCGTAATTGTATTTTTCTTCTGTTTATTATATCGAAGCGATCGATTTATATTATATACTAGCTGGAGTACCCATCCCCTAGATGGAAGTTATGTGAATTCGTGATTAATGAAAGGTTATCGTAGGAGATGAAAAGTTGCTTCCCTTATATGTATTGTACAAAACGCAAAAACGGCCATAAAAACTGCAAAATACAAAATTTGTAACCGTAAATTTGCTTGTATCTCGAATGGACCCAACAAACCTTCATGCCAAATTTAGTGAAGCTCTATTCCAAATAAAAATTCCATTTTTAAACTCTGCATTCTTTATCTTGACCTTAGGGATTTTCAGTAGTTAGAAAACTGTATAACAATTTAATATTCCAACACGCCATGTTTGCCATATACATTGTTATATAAAAGCCATTTTGATGATCTTTGGTTTGTTTTTTTGTTTTGAAGATAAGCACAGAGCTACACAATGAGCTATCCGTGCTCTGCCCACCACGGGTATCGAAATCCGGTGTCTAGCGTTGTAAGTCCGCAGATATACCACTGTGCCACTGGGGGGCGATGATCTTTGGATTAAGCGAAACGCGTCGGCGGCAGTGATATGGTGAATAGAAATAAAATAGAAAACTACTATTATTATCAGTTTTGTAATTCTCTGATGGTCAATATAACGAATGCAGAGTTAAGAAATTATAATAGGCCTAATACTAATGTCTTATGACAAGTATAAGTATAACATAAAATATTGTAGAAGTTATTATAACGGATTATTTTGTATGAAAATAATGAGACCTGTTTAATATTATTTTCAATATATTCAGATTTTCATTTTACGGTGAAACAAAATATAAGTCTGTGCTATTTTTTCCCTATTTTCTTTTCATAATATTTGATTAAATTACTATACACTATAGGTGTCGCATTAAAAAATCAAGATGGCGAGTGATACTAGTAATAGTACAATAATTAGTGATTTAAATACAAATAAGCCTACTGGAAACAATGGGGCTGGTAATTTACTGAGTAAGCATAAATATGAAGAGGATAAGAAAGAAAGTTTTTTCGAATTCCTTCCTGGATTTAAGGACGTTGGGGAATTTTCACAGGTATGCTTTTAAATTTATGATTGATCATGTATGTGCAGTGACTAGGATGCAGGAGGCCTAACATGCATGATTTCTTCTTAAGAGTGTTTTCTATAACTTAAAAATGTAAGTCACATTTTGAAAAAAATTGAGTTTATGTTTCAAAGATCTATTTTTAAAATGCAATTTGAAACATGCAAGATGATAGATCTGATCATTACCCATCATCAGAGTAGGGAGCCCCAGAGAATTATAGTTCCCGACCGTTGAAGCGTGCGAATATAAAATCGTAGTTTGTAATATATAATGCTAACATAATTAAAATACGAATGATTGTACATCAAACAACAAATGGAAAACATCTAACATTTTTTATACACATTGAACTGGCATGATATATTAAAAGGCAACCGTACTTCTACTAATTGAAATTGACTTTAAAAACTATCATAATTATCGTTAAATCCATTATCTACTATTTGTCAGCAACCAGCAAGCGAATGTTAAAACTGAAACCAGCATGTCTGTTCAAATTAGCTTGACTAATAAAGGCCAGTGATACATCAAATGTTAGCTCTCTTCATGCTCTACTTTGGTCTGGCCGGTTTCATTGGATCAAGAAGCATTTACTTTTCAAAAACTCGCATATAAAACTTTAAAACCATTTAAAATTCTATTTAGCCATTGAATCGATTGAAACAAGGGTATACAATAAACTTGGTGTTGTGGACTACATAATGAATCAATTGATATATAGCTGGGTCTGCTCAACTCGAATTGACAGCATGTCAAATGAGGAATGGGGATTGTAAACAGCCTATTAGTTATCCAGGCAACATGTTGCTTTACATCATATTGTCGATCGTAAACAGACTATATTGTCTCAAGGTCATATTGTTGGATGTGGCTACAGTAAAAGAACATATGCAGCAATTGTCGCTGATCAAAGTGGTATGAGCAATGGCAGTTTCATTTGTATTAAATAAAAGTGTAATTTATATATATATATATATATGTTCAATAATTAGAAATCACAGCTCTTAACTTTCAGGGCTATGCAATCAATATCTGTAATAAATGGAAGTGAAGTACCTCACAAAACTGAATACAGGTTATAACCTTAATGCATTCCATGTGTATTTGTGAATAATTATACAAACAACTTTAGTGGAGCAAGGAGAACACAGTCTTGAAAATAGTTTTCCCCTGTGCTTTAAGAATTAATATAATTGTCATCAATATACTATCCTCAAATTGAAACATGTCCATCTCGCACAATTAAAGCAATATTGAACAGCAAACAAAATGTTTGAACATAGTGTTACCAAAATGCTCTGGCATTTCCATATATTAGAAGTTGTCCATCTGATTTTTACCAATAATTAGTCTATGAATAAGCCACCTTTGCTACTAATGTACCTTAAATAATAACATAGTATATCTGCACTTATTACTAATTTCATTGATAATTCATAGACAAATGCTTGTTTCCTTAGCTTTTGTATTACGATTATATCTTGTGGTAACTAATATCTTGAACTTAATGATACGATTTATTATTTACATCATGACATGACATAGAACAGGTGGGGTTTACTACTTGTACGTATCTGTCAATCACAGTATTTCAAATTTTCAACCAATGTTATTACAAAATCTCTCCTTAACTTTCATAAGTACACAGGTAAGCTCATACTTCATCTGTAACATTTGTTTGTTGAAAATGTTTCTTTCATTTATCCATATAATATGTATCCACATGTATGAGTTTGCCATTGATTAATTTTCTTGGTACTACATTTTATCTTGGCTTGACACGGGTGTCATGTAGTATCAAGTTACCAGGTAAAGTGATAAATCACTCGCATTTTGTTAACATTGTTCCAGTGGGACGGTAGTATGTAATGAAAGGTCAATTTCCAGGAACGATTTTTATTTTATTTCATTAATTATGAACTAAATGATTGAACTTGCAGTGTAAATCTAATAATATGTGTGTGGAATCCATTGGTGTGTTTATTATTTTGTAATTTTAAATAATAGAACTTGCAGTGTAAATCTAATAATATGTGTATGGAATCCAATGGTGTGTGTATTATTTTGTAAATTTTCATAATTTAAAAATTGCTGAAACTCCCTAATCAGAGTGGCACTGGCATAAATAAGGCGAGAATAAAGTTAACTTCACTGTTATTAGTGTTCAGTTAAGAGAAACAAACTCAAAAGTATGAAAATAACATTGTTTAAAATTGTGTGTTTATGTTCATAGAACTAAGTAGTACAGCATTTACAAGAATTATCACTGCACTAGCACTTCCACTGGTTCCAGTGTCATTTAGGTTTATATTGAACATCTACATTGGCACAGGCATGAACTTGAATTTCAAGGTCAACCTGCAAAAATGGTAGGTACAGAGTTCAAAATTAGCAGTAACATATAGTACATTCTCCACCTAAAATTACAGTTTGCTACTTGCATTGTTAAGTCAGTAGTAAGTAGTTGCTATCAAGGAATCTTGTTAAAATATTCTAAAATTAGGGATCCCCCACAGAGTTATAGTTCCCAGCCATGGAAGTGTGTGTATACAAAATCTCAGTTGACAATATATAAATTTCACATAAACAAAATACTAATCATTGTACACCAAAAAACAAATGAAAATGTCTAAAGTTAGACCTGGGAACCAGTCATTTGATATAAAATCAGTAGAGGCTGGCTTGACAAATTTTTGGTTGGCTCAACACATAACAAATAAAAATTTTGTGCTTTATAAAATTACCAAAGCACTTTAGAGATAATTATATATTCATCATAAGGTGAGAAATAAATTAAGACTGACAAAAATTGTTCTGTGCTGCGCGGTATAATAAACTTTATCAGATATTATAGTACATAACTAACATAAATGTACAAAATTTATTGTATGTTATTTATTGTATTGTTATCCTATGCCTTCAGCATAGGTTAACCATCAAACCAAGTGAAACACACGATCAAAAACTTTCATTAATGAATAATGTTGGTATTATCTTTCTAAATATTAAGAGACAAGTATCTTTGTCTACGAAACAAGTGAAAATCTGAAATATAATTATATCATCTGTCTCAGTGTTCACTAATAATCTAAGCACTTTTAAACTAATATGGTATATTAAAAGCCTGGTTCATCACATCAATGAGTATGCTTTATCTAACCTTCACCAGCCAATGTATTTTTTACTAGGTTTTTACTGTCATGTATGAATGACACCATATTCATAGTCATTGGGTGAAGTGAACTCCTTTTTGCATTCATGATGAGACCTGTAGTTGAGAATGTGTTCTCAAGTGGTACACTTACACAGGGAATAGACAAATATTCTTTTGCTGCACTGGCTAACCTAGGATAATTACATGCATTATTTTTCCAGAAGAGCAATGTGTTTGCCCACTCAGCTTTACTTGGCTGGTGCAATTGATACTGCAATATTTCACCTCAAAGCTCATCAGGATCTAAGGCATTCTCACCCATCTGTGAATTTAGTAATTTAATTTTCTTTGATGTAGAACCAGACTCTGAATTAGTATTTAAAGATGAAGCAACCACATCAGGTTTGGTTGGACATACATGTTCCAAAAGGGATTCAACTTCCTCTTCCTTGGGTATTAGACAGTGAACTGCAGGGTCCATGGTCCATGCCACTTTTGCAACTTCTGATAATTTAAAGTGAGAGTTTATTTTGGGGGTTATCAGTCTTTTTGTTGTATTTAATTGCTGGATTATCCTCTTTCTGTATTTTGCTCTTTATTAGTGGGATAATGCTAGACTGTTTTCTGCATCACTCATCATTTCTGTGAGCTCATGAAATGGTTTGAGGAAACTGACTAGACTTTCCATCATGTGCACTTCTTCAGCATCCATTACTAGCTCATACTTCCCAATTTTTTCAGCATGTTCATGCATGACTTTTTTAATGAAAGTATGGATTCCAGCATATTAAGAGCACTATTCCACTTTGGACAAATCTGTATTTTCAGACTTCTGTGACTGTGAGGTGACCTTAAGTCATCTGAAGTACCCTCATCCAGACCTGACTCTTCCTGATCAGCCTCTTGTTCAAATGGAAACTATTCATGAAGCTGCATAACATGAAAATGAGCTTGTACCCCAATGGCTGAGCTTTTCAGTGGTCATTGATGACTAGCTGATGGCTCAAAAATAATCAGTGACTGCTGGGGCCACAAAAAAACAGTGATGGCTGCTCTCAGGTCTATCTACAGTACTAATACATGCCAAATTTGCATGATTTATTTTGAGGCAACTGTACTCCCACTAGTTGTAAATCTGCTTTAAAAACATCACAATGATTGCTAAACCCATCCTCCACCATTTTTCAGTGACCAGCAAGTGAGTATTAAAACCAAAAGCAGGGTGTTGGTTATAATTGACTGGACCAATCAGTGATACATCAAACAATAGCTGGCTTCATGCTTTGCTTTAGTCTGGCCAGTTTCATTGGATCCAGAAGCATTTACTATTTGAAAACACAGGAACAAAACTTTTTTAAAACCATTTAAAATTTTTTTAGCCATTGAATTTGTAGAAACAAGATCATACAATAAACTTTGTGGTGTGGATTGCATAATGCATAAACTGATACATAGATATGTCTGCCCAAATCCAACTGACAAGCAAGCAAGTAAAAAAAAAGGAAGAGTGGGGATTGTAAACAGCCTATATATTGCCCTGGCAACTACTTGCTTTACATTAAATTATTGGGCGTAAACAGACTATGTTGTCCTGACAACAGTTTGCTATATGTCATGTAGTTAGGTGTGACTACAGGAAAAGAACATTGCTACAACAGTCTATGATAAAAAGAATGGTATGAGTGATCTATCAATTACATGATGACATGACATAGAACAGGTAGAAGTTATTATTGGTATGTATTGTCAATCAAGGTATTTCAGGTTTACAACTAATATGATTACAGAATCTCTCCTATACTTTTGTAGTTATTTATTTGTTTTTCACTAA